GTGAATTGATTCGATACCGGACGAAACGATCCGATAGCATACACGCGAGGTGGTTCAGTCCCAGTCGAGACGTCCGTCAGCAGTTTCAGAACCAGTCGTTTGTCCTCACGTAGTCTGAAAGTTCTCTGTGCCCATTCACTCCACGCCGAACAAAGACTWCGAGGCTCAAAGCTTGACCGCGCGACTACGCARTCATGTGGAACGATTGGGTGGCAAACGCCAAGAAAATGGCGGCGGACGTCGATCGGAAATTGAACGAATCTGTTGGCATGGACGCAGACGGGAACCTGATCGGATCCTCCCACAAAACAACACCAAAGCAATCAGATACTGCAACTATTTTTTCTGTGGCGGAGGATCAGGCTCKGCCGTTCGCATCAAACACTAGTATTGGCGATTCTGCTGTAGGTTCGTCCGGTGCCGTGACAAAGATTGTTGAAGATGACGACGATGCTTGGAACGATGATTTTGATTTCGACGACGACAACGATGATTTAGACGACACTGCGGTCTTGGCGAGTGTAGATACACCAGCGAAGATTGAATCGGTGCCCATAAAAGCGGAGAAGCTAGAAGCAAACCCAATGGAACAATCTACCCCTGTTRCACCTCTGCCATCTGCAACCACGAGCTCAACGACGACAAAAACGGATGAATCATTAAAAAAAGAAAAGYCATCCCCACCATTGCCAGCGACTACCGATACAGTGACAAAGGTGGCAGAAACCAAGTCAAAAGAGACGGAGGACATACTCGCATCCACCACACCGGTAGCGACGAAAGGTTTGGCACAGACGAGTAGCACCCCCAGTAGCGGTGAAGGAGGATTTTTTTCCATGATGACCCAAACAGTATCCTCCACGGAAGCTGCAGTCACCGGSATGTCCTCTATTTTGGCGGCGACCGTGTCAGTGAAATCRGAACCGACGGGAACCAAAGAGACGGAAACTGAGCACGAAACCGTTGCTGCTACCGACAACACTGACAAAGCGAACGATGGTGCCATTGGCACAGACACTGGGAAATCAGGAGATGAGACAAAATCTACCGACACAGAGCTGGAGCAGAAGAAAGATGCGCTTTCTTCGAACGGAAAAGAAAAGAAGGATAGCGGATGGGATGACGTCGATGTCGATGTCGGTGTCGATTTTGACGACGATACACCAGATGGTTCTGGTGCATCTACTGAGGAGAGCGGTGGAAGTGCTCCTGCTTCAACCCCTGCATTGGGCAGTACCAGGGGCCTTCTTACGGGAGACTCAAAAAATGACTCCATTCCTGCCACCAAGGAGAGTGATATCACCCCAGTCCCCGCTTCTGCAACAATTCCTGCTTCGAGTAGCAGCAGTGGCGGTTTCTTTTCCAACCTGTCCGACCTAGCACAGAATGCAGATTCACTGTTGACGGCTGCAGCAAAAATCGAAACAGATGACGAGAATGCTAATGTGAARAACGATACAGTTGTCGCCGAAGAAAGCAAGGATAACGACGAAATAGACGCACAACCAAATGATTGCGATGGTAGCTCATCATTGAAAAATGATGCACCACTCTCCCCGGATCCGACGGCCGAAAAATCACCCCAAAACGCCATATCCGAAGAGGAAAAACGACCATCCGATCCTGTCCCCTCCGCAACCCCGAAAATCGCTACCGCAGGATTGTTTTCCAATTTWACCAATCTGGCAAAAACGCCAAAAGAGACCACATCTAAAGGAGAGGATCTTCCATCACCGAATCCCACGTCAGCAATCCCTCAAAAGGRTAGCGCTGGAGGACTCTTTTCCAACCTTACGAATCTGGCACAGACAGCAGACTCGATGCTGACAGCGGCAGTACTTTCGGGAGAAGGCGATGGTACTGTTTTAGGCAGTMCGAAGCCTGACAACAGTGGTGGWTGGGAAARTGAAGACGACGACATGTTTCTCGGTGATGATGATGAACAAGACGAAAAGGAAAAGGAAAAAAWACCTATGGAAGCAAACAAAACAAATGACAAAACAGATGGACCAAACGATACGCTTAAGTCTGTAGACGAGGAGAAAGAAGAATCTTCTTCCTCTTTTSTCAAAGTGTCTCCGAGTTCMTCTGTATCAACACCAGAAACTTCACAAAAGGAAACAGAAATGTCAGGGAAACCCGTTGTGTCTGCGACAGACAATGCACTATCTCCACCATGTGTAGGTGCAACTCCTGCATACATAAACATAGAGGATGATCCGAGATATAAAGAACTCCAGGAGGCGCTGCGAATGCGCGAGGAACAATTGGTCAACAAAGGCAGCCAGCTGAACGAGCTCCAATCCCTGATGGAATCTCGTGATGAACAGTACAAGAAAAAGATACAAGATACCAAAGAAGAGGCCAAGARACGAATTCAACGAGCGAAGGAACGYTGCGAGGCGGCCGAAGCGAAACTCCGGGCTCGATCCTCCGGTGATTCAGATGATCTCAAAAAGAAACAATTAATTATCGACGAACTAATGGAAGAAGGACAAGCCTTGGCCCAGAAACAATCAGCAATGGAAAAGGYTGTACGTTCCGCCAATGCTGAAACACGGGCCCTCAAAGAAGATTTACTGCACGAAACTGAGGAGAAAGAACAAGCACTGGAAAAGATTGTCGGGATGGAGGACCAAATCAAGACTTTGAAAGGGTACCTCGCATCTGCCCGAGAAGGAGAGTCGAAATCTGGAAAACTTGAGAGCGACTTATTGGCAACCCGCGCCGATGCTGAAGAAAAGGCGAACACAATATTGTCCCTTCAACAACGAGTGAAGGAATTGATGGAAGAATCGAGAGATCTCAAGCAAGAAATCAACRCTACCCGCAAGTCGGCAGCACACGAGGCACAACAAGAGAAAACTTCAATGCGGAAGGAACACAATGACTTACTTGGTGATTTGGAACAGAAAATTCGAACGATCGAACGCGAGGCAGGCGTTCGCGAAGATGCCTTACGGCACGAAGTATCAGAAATAAGAAAGCGGTGGCAGGATGCTGTTCGGCGAGCCGATGGTAAGTAACTATTTATTTTTTCCTTTGCGWCTTCTCGAATCGTGCCCCTTGATTTCATTCTTTTCGGTTCTCAATCAATACTCTAACTCAATCTCAATCCATTCGATGATTTCGGTCAACGTCAATAACGCAGCTTTAAGCATGGATATTCAATCCAGTACCGCACCCTTACTGCGCCAGTTAGAAAGTATGGAGCGCCAAAGTCGGTTGCGAACTGCAAATGCTGCCGAATTGGAGTCTCGCTTGCGATCCGAGTTGGAAGMAGCCATGATTGAGAACGAAAGACTTGGCAGGGATGGCTCTGAATACAAAATCAAGCTTTCTCGATTGGAACGATCCATGAAAGAGCGCGATCAGGAAATTGTTGCTGCGAAACAGACGATCGAGGAGCAAATTTTATCAATCGAAAATCTGACACGAAAAGAAGAAAAGCTTAATGCAGAAGCAGAGAAACGACAGAGAGAATATGAGAGAGTTGAAAAACTTGCAAATGAAGGCGTGTCTCGCGTTAGAAGTGAAATGACGCAAACAGTCGTAGACAGCGAAGAACGATACCGAGGACAGATAGAAAAGATAGAAGCAGAACTGAAGGTCGAACGAGAAAAACGCAGTCAGCTTGAGGAACAGGTAGGCCAATTATTGGAGAATACCACGATGGGAGTGTTCACCTCGTCCCCGCAGGCTCCGCTCGCTACAGGAATCCGTCGAGGAACTAAGCCTAAAAAGCTTCACAAAGCAGAAGGTCAGGCCGAAATCCTAGCTGGAGCACTGGGTCTAGGTGGGGATTCGGATGATAGCGATAGCGATGGTGATGACTTTTTTGATCGAAGCGATATGGAAGGGTTCGAMTCTGAAAATCATTCCAATCAACGGCAAGGTAGTTTAAACAGTTTTGCAGCACTAGAACAACTGTCGTCGAAATTAAGAACAGCAGAAGTCGAGCTCACAGCGTTGCGAAAAAGCCTGAAAGAGTCAAACGAGACCCACCAGTCTCTAGTGGAAGAGCTGGGAGAGGCCAGGCATGCCAAGGAAAAGCTCCCCCTCTTTGAACAAAAAGTGAAAGAACTGACCCGAGAGAATCGCGAAATGGAACAAGAAATCGCTGGTTTGAAAGAAGATATAGCCGATGTTCGGGAATTGTATCGAACACAGTTGAATGTGCTCCTAGAAGAAAAGACGTCCTCGTCGATGAATAATGATGTCGGGGSCAAGAATGTAGATCCAACTCCTCAAGAAAACAAGACCGAAATCGGTYATTAGTGTCAGGAATCAGCTATCTGATCGACGAAATTTCAAAACAACCTAATGCACATATCAGTYATCGTAAGCTTTACAAATGCAACAATGCTTTCCATGGCGTGGGTACTCATCTCTCGTTATCGAGAAGCAGGTGATAAAGAAATAAACTGATTATCCTGCGAATTTAWTGATGCTAGTATTAGCGATGGGTTTGATTTGGTTCTTTCTAACGATCGTCGGTCCGTTCGCCTGGTATTTTAATCAGCAGGAACGTTGTACTTGGCAAACAAATTCTCGTGGTTTGTCATGGCTTTGAATTCCAGGTTGTTCCCAGAGGGATCCTTGAAAAACATAGTGTATTGCTCCCCGGGTTCGCCCTTAAACCTCAGGGTGGGTTCGATTACAAAATCCACGTTGTGGGATCGCAGCCGATCCACAAGGTTGTTGAACTGCTCAACAGTTTCCAGTGCCAGACCCGCGTGGGGCACCGGAACCTCGTCACCGTCAACAGGATTGTAGTAATCTATGCATCTGTAGTCGTCTCCGGCCCAATGACAGACAATTTGATGACCGTAGAGCGAATAATCCTGCCACTTGTCGGAGGATCGGCCCTCTTCGCAGCCCAGAACAGTCCCATAGAACTCTTTGGCGGCTTCGAGAGAGTGAACAGGGAAGGCATAATGGAAAGGGTTTCCAGGGGCCGGAGCACTTCGTGTTTCATATTGGGTCGATGGCTTTGTGGTTTTCGCGCCGCTTGCTCTGTTGGCTGACGTCGTGGAAAAGAGTTTGGTTGCACTTCGGCTGGTACTCTGGAAGATGGCAAAAGGAGAAGTGCGTTTAGCAGTTGCGCTGACTCTGAAGCAGGAAACAACACTAGGCGTCGAGGAGATGGAGGCGAAAAGTCGAAGCATGATGGTGGTGGCAGCAGCAATTTTCATTTTTTTACTTGAATAGAATGACAACCAAAATACGATAGAGTTCACGGAAGAAATACGTCTCGGGCACAGTGATACTGTGATACTGAATCGCTCTTCCTCTTGTAGCTCACAGTATCAGTATTTCGTATTTCTCTTGTCGGAACTCTTCCGACTTTTTTCTATTTTGTTCGTCGAGGATCAGAGACAGGTTARAGGCGATGATGTGTGAATTTTTGAATCTCAAGGCGACATAGCAACGTCCCGTGCCATATGAGGTACGAGTGCGTACGAGTCGTAGCGTACGTTACTCTTATGCATCGACTATCGATATCGTGCTGATAATGAGAATAAGTGCCGGTATTTGTACACGTCATTCTTTTTTGCATAAGCCCCAACAGTAATATTTTAAATTTCAGTTTCTGCTAGTACTGGGAACACCACACGGTACAAGTCAATCGGCAATAGAAGGCGTACGTGAACCCTAAAAAACCTACTTGGAAAAAAGGAAAAATCGCCAAAACACGATCGTCACCATGGTGAGACTGATATCTCCACAACCAGAGCAACTCTGAACATAAGAAGGGTAAGGGTACAAAGCTCTCCCTCTGCTTAACAATAAGGTCCTTAAATATTGCTCTGGTTGTGCCTCATCTCCTAATGTATTTACTGATGTATTCGTATTAAGCAGCACAGGGGGGGGGGGGGCGTAATTTTCAGCAGTGCTCGATCGTTGTATCTTCATAATCAAGAATCAGGTTGTTACTACTAGTATGGAAATTGGATGAGTGGAAAAAGCACTATTCGATTAGTATGTCTGTCTATTGGCTAAAATAAGGAGCTAAACAGGGCCTATGGAGCAGCAGTTGTTCAAAACGAAAGAATAATAGATTGTTCTTTCTATTCTGGTTGCAGCAAAAGACAGCATCCCAATTGTTGCATTCAATTGTTGGATGAGAGACAAACAATCAACAGTAGAGACATCTCCATTGGAATATTCTCCGGTCATGGACCTTTCCTTGCAGAAGGGGGGGGGGGAGCTCTCCTGCTGGTGGTGGTCCTCTACTTTCAGCACAAATACATCTAAGCACACTTTGATGATTGAGTTCAATTCCATACTTAGTGTTGACACCTTTCACATTTTTTGAAGCATTTTTACCCTTGTCTTCTGGGTCACTCTTTGCCTTCTTGTAAAGCATGGCTGTTGCCTTGATGTGAGCTCTTGCAAGGTTCTTATTGTGCTTGAGTTTTTTGTTCACACAGTGGATGTGTGCATTTTTGACATTGTCTTAAGACCTTTCTTCTTGTCACTGCCAGGAGTTGTGCTCGCCATAACTTTGCCATGACCCAAAAATTTTGAAAAAGATGGAATGGAAGGATTGTCAGCAGACAAAGCAGCAGGTTTGGATGCCTCAGATGCTTCCTCTTTCATTTTGGTTACAAGGCACCTTACATTGACACTTCTTTGAGAACTTCAAACCTTTCAAAATGGACAGGCTTCATTGCTCAAGCAACAGTAAGAAGTTGTGCATTCACAATCTTGCGTTTAAGTTCTTCATCAGGAGAAAGAAGGGACATCATGGTAGTGTCAGTAACATAACAAGGAGCAATCTTATTTGCACCAAAACAATCTCTTCATGCTGGAGGAGCTTTCTTCTTCTTCTTTGCTGGTAGTACTAATGATGATAGGTTTAGTATGACTCATTTTTCTGTGAACAGGAGCCATGATTTTGCTTTAAACTAAACCTTAGAGGTAGTATGTCCTCCAATCATTTTTTGTTGTTGTTGTTTTCATCTTTGTCAAAACAGTATTTATGCACTCATTAGAACTGCTCTAGAACCGGCTCTAATGTCCACCCCCTTGGGGGGATATGGTTGGTCATCTGTGATTCTTGTTACACACCAATTATAGGCCAGGGGGGAGCTGGTTCTCAATTAACAGTTGCTATGGCCAAAATTGGCTGGTTTCCAACACTGGCTAGTACTGGTTAGAAAATCAGCTAGAACTTTATCAAAAAAAACTTTCGACCACCAAACTAGTAAGCATTCAAGTTGATATAATTACTTTGAGATCCATATCAGCAGTGGTAAACCAAAGGATGCTCTGGTGGCTTATAACCAGGCAACCAAAGCTACAGTAGTGGGTGGCCAAAAATCAGGTGTTAGTACTAGTTCTGTGTGTAATTGTATTGCCAATTGACTGGTAGTACTTTACTTGTACTGGTGGTTGCCAGCAAGAAACAAGGAATTACTAAGCAAAGTCCCTACCTAAAACATCCACCCATTACATAATAGTAGTAGCAGTGATCCTCCTCCTGTTGCTGGCAGGAATTTCTCTAGTAGAGATTATGCCTGTTTCCAGCAGGAGGAGGAAGAAGAGTGATAAGGATACTAGTAGTACTACTAGCCATTATACTTGTTACTAGTAGTACAAGTACTATGGTCTTGCACTAACAACCCAGCAGTTCCCAACATTGTTTTAGTGTTCCCAATRCTAATTTAGTAATGTTTGCAACATAAATTTTCATTCAAATTCTTTGGGCTGGCGGTCTTCTTGGTGGTGTCAGATTTATCTACATTCCTCCCTTTCTTGTTGAAAGGAGGAACACAATTTAGCAACAATTGATTTGCTGCTGTTAGAAAATTGTGACAACACTAGAACCTAGGCCACCAACCACCAATCAAATTTCTGGTTTACCCACTCTACAAAATCAGGGTTGCAATGGAKAAACTACTGATTATCTTAGTATCATTTCTATTGAGCTGTCTGTCAATGAATCTTTGATTTGTCCAGTATTCTGTCACTTTGCACAAATAGTAGATTGTATCTTAAATAGTTGCTTCTTGATAGTAGCAGAGTACTAGTGGTGTGTTTCTGATTGCATATAATTGCCACTAGTTATGTTGCCGCTGCGTGGAAACAAGAACACTAGTAGAATAAGTTCAACCACCACCAGATGCAATATATATATATATATATATATATATATATATATATA